CAGTACAGATACCCAAAAATTCTACTTAAGTACAGTAACAAAGTATTTGTACTTAGTTACTTTACAACTCTGCTCTCTGCCTTCTTTTATTTATTTATTGAATCATTCAGGATATTTTGTTGTAATGCTTTTACTGATATTTACTTAACTTTCCTGTTTTCTTTATATTTACTCTGCAGCTTTTCTGTTCCACGTCAGTTTAACAACAAAAAACGCCTTACTTTTTTTTAGTGTTAATAATAACAAATATTTAACATTTTTAGGATATGTTATATGACATACCTACATATTTCTCAGCATGTATTTACCTGGTGCTCTACAATTATTAGAAAAATTGGTTAGAAAAAATGTCAACATATGATTCAGACTAAAACCCTGCGTGTCATTTTCAGTAGTTATGCTTAAACGTACATATATGACATCATAAATTTAGTAATCGGGTCAAAGTTACCTGAAGTCAACAAGAGAGTTTCATTTGTAACCAGTTCATTTCTATTGTTATAGAGCAAATTATGTAATTTGTTGTGGGGGTTAAATTGACTAGATCAAATTATTGTGGGGGCCATGACCCCCCTAACCCYCCCCTGCTAATTACRGCCCTGATGCAATACAGAAAAAAAAAAACACTCAACAGTAAAAGACAAAAAGAATAAAACTAAGGAAAACTGACCTAAAAATCATAAAAATCTGCATCATAAGAAGTAGCAAAAGTGGGTTTTAGGTGAAGATTTAAAAGCAGCTAAAGTAAGGAGGGGTAAGACTGATTTAAAAAGAAATAAAATCCTTTTTAAATGGACTGGTAACCAGACGCAGGGATTTTAAAACTGGGGTAACGTGAACAATTTCCTCGTGCCAGTAAAAACGAGCGAATGTGCTACCACAGGCCCACTAAGCATCAGAAAAGAGCCGAGTTGTAATAAAATCACACATTTCCAACAAGCTGTGGAAGAACTGGTTTTATTTTAGCCAGCTGGCCCAGATGAAAGAAACTAGAGCACGTGTCAGAAATGTGCAGTGTGTTGTTGCATTTAGCCACCTGGTACTTGGCCAGAAGTTTGCTTCTCCAGTAGGTGTGAGGRATGTCGTGGATGGACAGGCGCAGGTTGTGATAACTGTCTTTGAAGAGCAGCGGTTTGGGATCTTCTAACAAAACTCCACCCAGACTCCTCTCCAAGTCCAGCACATCCTGCACACAGGAAGAAGACTCATTCAGTACTAATCAACTTATTTTAATCACATCGATTCACAAAAAGGTTACTTTATTATGCTACGCAAAAAGGCAAAATCATATATACGTCAAATTATGTTAAATTTGACTCACAGCCATTAAACTTGCTTTCTGCTGGTTGACATTTTATGCTAAATTTGACTAAAAAGACGTTACAATAAACAACACGGAGTCGGGTTTTAAAATATGATGTTTTTGTTAGCATGAGGCTTTTATTGTSTTTTATTCTGACTTTTCGTTTCTCTGGAGTCATAGAGATTCAGGATTCGTGCGTCAACATTTAATTTGTAAAAGAATAAAGTGGATCTGAAGAGCAGCCCTGCTGCTCAGAGCCACGATGGAAATAAGATTCATAAGTTTTAGTGTTATTATTCAGACATACCAAAAACAATATCCAACCTCATGTTGGTTAGGGTACATGGTTAAACTTTAAAATATATATTTTTTATACGTTTAGACTTTAAATATGCTCATTTTTTATTTTTWATTTTTGGCTCTTCTGACTCTTAAACCAGTAAATCCTAACTAAAGCAGTTTTGATTAGAATATCTGCTTTCCATTTAATGAAACATGACAATATTACATTTTTAAAACTACATCTCATTAAAACATCTATTGCTTGTGTTTGTGAGGAATAAATTAAAGCACAAAAAAGCAGTAATTTAAATGTTTCAGCCTCTATTTTCTTACATCCACAAAAGACAGTAGTGCTCTCCTAAATCACTGGATTACTTTTAGGATTCAAATGATAATTTCTGTTTTCAGAGAAATAAAATGAGGAGTGTTCAAATAAAAAGGCTGTAATGAAGAGGCTC